CCCACCAATGTTAAAATGAATTTCAAATGAATTCATGCTTGTCCAGATGATTTAAGCGAATCTAAGTATGAGTAGATGAATTCAAACTTCCTAATATTCAGATGAACTCACATATTTCCATGAGGCCCCTACAGTACAGTATGTCCTCCCAGAACGTGGCTCATGTGGTGTGTAAGCACAGCAGCGGTGGGCGGAGTCTTTATGGGAAGGTATAGGGACGTGTTTTTAAGGCGAGTCTACCCGGCTCACTGCCCTAATGACCGGAAGTCCCCGCCACCAACACTTCCGCCAGGGATGCTGCAACGGGAGATGAACGTCCCCCTTAAATTGAAGGCGAACGTTCCATCCCCTCTTTAAATGGGAGAAGAGTACCTCTCCCTCGCACCCGTGGCAAAAGGATATGAGAATTCTCCTCCTTTTAATGAAGATGAGTCCTCCTCTCATTCACCTTCCCTGTCCCCCTCTCTCATCCCCTCTCCTTCCCTTTTCCGCCCTACTCTTTTCTTCTTCATCTTTCACCTCTCTCTTCCCCTTCCTTCTTCTCCCTTCCATTTTCTTCCCCTTAAATAAAAGAGGACGGTTTAATGTGACCAAACTTGTCCCAACCTCCTTCCTATCTCATCTCTTCTCCTGCTATCTCTTCAATCTGCCTTCATTCCTCCTTTATTCTTTTCCTCCCTCCTCTTCTCTTCCAACCACCATTATTCTCATCATTCATTTCTTCTCCTCCATCCTCCACCTCCTCCCTATCTTTCCTCTAAATCCCTCTCCTCCTCCTCCACCCCTCCCTCCTTCCTTCCTTCCTTCCCTCCCTCCTTCCCTCCCTCCCTCCCTCCCCTGCAATAGGAGATGGATCCTCATTCACTCTTCTTCCCGCCTCCTCCCTCTGTCTCCCCCCCCTCCCACCCTTTTTGTTTATTGCCACAGTGATTATCTCATTCTTGTTCCGGTTCCTGTAGTTGTGTGCGTTCTCTCTCTCTCTCTCAACTGTGTGTGGTCGTCATGGTCCTGTGATCGTCAGGTCGTTTCGTCATCTGGTCAATGTTGTGTTATTAATATTTATTTGACCCCTAACCTAACCTAACCTAACCCTGTAGAGTAATGTCGGTTATGATTTGTGTTGGTTGGTTTTTAATTTTCCTAAGTTAGTGTTGGTTTGATAAGACTGGTTAGGTTAGGTTAGGGCCAGTGGTTGTTGTATTGGCTATTGTGTTGTAGGTCTTGGATCATGTCTACTTGCCAACACACACACACACACACACACACACACAGAGGGGTAAACATAAAAACACACACTCAAAAATACAGACACAGACAGATACAAACACCACAATAAAAAGATGAAACAATGGCTGGTCAGGATAATTTACATTATTATTATCCCGCTACTGGTATGTGAGTGTGAGGTGAGACTGGCTTACTGGCTCACAACTCACGCTCATAACTCACAAGATAACATACTGATACTCACAAGATAACACTGATACTCACAAGATAACATACTGATACTCACAAGATAACATACTGGTACTCACAAGATAACATACTGATACTCACAAGATAACATACTGATACTCACAAGATAACATACTGATACTCACAAGATAACATACTGATACTCACAAGATAACATACTGATACTCATGATTATTTATTATTAAGATAACATACTGATACTCACAAGATAACATACTGGTACTTAAGATAATATACTGATACTCACAAGATAACATACTGATACTCACAAGATAACATACTGGTACTTAAGATAATATACTGATACTCACAAGATAACATACTGATACTCACAAGATAACATACTGGTACTTAAGATAATATACTGATACTCACAAGATAACATACTGATACTCACAAGATAACATACTGATACTCAAAAGATAACATACTGATACTCACAAGATACCATACTGATACTCACACATACTGATACTCACCATACTGATACTCACAAGATAACATACTGATACTCACAAGATAACATACTGATACTCACAAGATAACATACTGATACTCACAAGATAACATACTGATACTCACAAGATAACATACTGATACTCACAAGATAACATACTGATACTCACAAGATAACATACTGATACAAGATAACATACTGATACTCACAAGATAACATACTGGTACTCACAAGATAACATACTGATACTCACAAGATAACTCATAATACAGTGCAAATATAGCTAATAATAAGGTTGCTCACAATAGTAGATGCAGACGTTTATTTAAGTAGGTTGACAATTGGACGGATAGGTCGATAAGTAGCCACATTGGGCGACAGACAGGTCGACGGGTGGTTGAAGAGTTCGAAAGGCGGCCAGATAAGGTGTCAAGTAACCTAGTAGAACGAGGGATAGGTCGACAGGTGATCAGGTAGGTCAATAGGTTGCTGGGCAAATCAACAGATGGCCAAACATGTCATCAGGTGGCTATACATGTCAACAGATGGCCGGGCATGTCAAAAGATGGTCGTACATATCAAAGATGGCCGGGCATGTCAAGAAATGGCCATGCCGGTCAACAGATGGCCAAACATATTAGCAGATGACCGGACAAGTTAACAGATGGCCATACATGTCAACAGACGGTCATACATATCAACAGACAGCCATACATGTCAACAGATGGCCGGGTATGTCAACAGGTGGCCAGAAGAGAGAGAGAGAGAGGTGTGTGTGTGTCTTGTTGTAGGTCACGGTTATTGCCTTGTATTGGTGTGAGTATTGTGCGTGAGGCATAAAGGCATGACTGGTGCTTTCGGTGTTCGGCCTGGTGCTTTCTGTGTTCGGCCTGGTGCTTTCTATGTTCGGCCTGGTGCTTTCTGCGTCACTCTTGCGCTTCCTGTACTTCAGTGGTGCTGTCTATGCCACACTCGGGTTTTCTGTATTTAAATGGTTTTATACATCACAGTTATAATTTCTGTGTCATAGTGGTACTTTCTACGTCACACAGGAAATTTCTGGGACACACCTGTGTTTTGTGCTTGGGGGTGTTTACCTGCGTCACAATAGGTCCTTGTCTGCGTCATTCGATTGCTGGGTACAAACACAATGAGTTACTTGAACACCCTGACGATAAATACAGTTGTTCTATCTTATTTCGACCAGAGATTTCTTGGAGGGTAATGAGGACAGGCATTTTTTTCTGTTTCATAAATTGATTTCTGTTTTTATGTAAATCACAACTAAATTAGACGTTTTACTAAATATTTGGTCGTGACAAGACGTAAGTTGGAGGGGGACGCAAATCTGCTGGAGGAAGACGGAGCGAGCTGTGCGGAGGAGAGTGAGTAGGTTGCTGACACTCGCATTGCAGGTGTAGATCCCATGAACAGTTTCAAAATCTCTCACTTCCATCATTCAATAAGAGTCAATATCAGTGCATTCAACCAAAGTGTATGACGATCGTTGCCATATGAAGGGCGGCTCATTACTTCTACTCCTACATCTGTCAGTAACAGTGAGTGTAGGCCAAGATTTTCCGTTCATTTATTTTTCCCATAGTTGGATACTGAGATAATAAGTGTCAACATCTTGTAAGTTAAATGAACCTGTTGACACATTCTCACATCTTAAATATTGTCCTTCAGTTGACTGAGGAGATAGCTAGCACAAACCAAATGTTTCTCTTTTCCTCAAACTTTTCTGATTTAACGTAACCTAACACTGAGCTACGAGTTTGTCTTTATTCTTGGGCAAGTTGAAGTTAATGTTTTTGTTATTTGGTACACTGTCACTTTTTTTTAACAGTAGAAACTTTTAATAATTTAGAACATCATTTTATTATCATAGTAGTTGTGTTTATTTTGTAAAATTTAATTCATTTTTAGTTAGTGTTAAATATTGCTAATGTATAATCTCTCCTGCAGTGTTCAACGCAGTATATGCATGTACAGCTTAAGCTTTCATTATTATGGATATTTAAATATATACATAAAGATCTAAGGCAATAGCCATGTTAAACTACCTTAACCTATTATATATAGTTTAGCAAAACATTACTACTTGGTAGGGACTAAAACTGGTGCGGTGAGAACACTATAGTTATGTTATTCAGAACAATATTGTTTACCGGAATATTATCATAAGGATTTTGCCCTGGAATGTTGTACGGTGGAATTTTGTCTTATGAGATTTTGTCTTTGTCAGTAGGCGTGAGTAGCTCCCTCACAACACAGTAGCCCCTTGTGGTGGTGAGGATGAAATTGGTGGCTACTAACCTACCCCTCTGGTGTTAGGAGGGGCGCCTTTACCTAGTGGAATGGCCGCTAACACTTACTATCATGATAATATTATTGATAATGTTAATGGGAGGTATAGTACTGCGCTAGAGGGATATCTACTGATGATGTACTTAGTATGCAGGTCTCACACGGGCAACGGGATTTGGTGACTCTCCCCTTATGGAGTCCGCCCACATCCTAGCCCACACTCCCCAGCCAGCCCGCCCACATCTAATGCCAACCCGCCCACATCCCAGCCCACACCCCCAGTCGACCAGCCCACTCACACCCCTAGCCTACCAGCCCACTCACATCCCAGCCATCCTGCCTACCCACATCCCCAGCCAACTCAAGCATTGGTAGCTAACAAGGTATAAAAGTAAGCTGTGTGAGCGGGTAGAGGGCGCGGGGTCAGCTGGTATACTAAGTGATGCTGTTGTCGAGTATCTATCCTTGCGACTTTGTGAACAAATAGAATTAGATTGACAGAGTAAGAAGGAAATGAAATAAAATCAGTGAAGAGATAAGTAGAGAAGATGGTGGGTATCTTAGAAGAACAAATAGGTTGCAGTGAAGTTGGTAGTGGTAAGAATATTGTTAAGTAGCAGTAGAAGAAGTGATCGCAGATTATGGCAGTCTACAGAGAGGTAACTGGGAACAGCCACCCTGTTTCTCCTGGTGGAGTCATCGGACGAGCGACACCTCCAGCCTGTGCCTCGTACTGTTATCATCTTATTGTTTCCAGGAAAGAAACATGACGCAAAGGGGAGGCCATAATATTATTAAGGTCAACGTTAATAAGGTGTTGACCCCGCAGGAGTATGTCAGCGGTGACGTCATCGCCACTCCCGTGCATGTACAAATTGAACAGCTGTGAAGAGGTGAGACACACTACTGTATTTCGCTATATATATATATATATATATATATATATATATATATATATATATATATATATATATATATATATATATATATATATATATATATATATATATATATATCGTTAACGATGTGATAATACAACCAAGGAGAGACTTGGGATAGTTGGGTGTCCGCGCGTTTGTCCAGCTACAGTATTATCAGAAGCTGAGTGAAGTATCAGTAAAGATTCGCACAACTTCACAGTGTGAGGAAGGTAATAAACTGTCTTATTTCTCACCCTCTCTATAACTGTAACTCGGTTAAAAAAAATCTTTACAATTCTTGTGCGAAACAAAATGGCACCACGAATGAAGGTTTTTGATAAAGCCCCATGAAGCATACTGTTATTCATCAGTCATATTGCAACGAACTAATTTTAGAATGGGATACCAAAATTTGATCTACCATAATAGGTAGGATATGTCTCACAATCACGCCTACCACCCTATCGAGGCAACAGGATTGTTCCGTTCCAAAATCATCGGACCCCTCCTGAAAGACACTTCTTTTTTTTTAACCGAGTACAATACCTCATCATTACGTTTAAATTTATGTTAATGTCCCGTATATCTTATTTTCTATAAATTAAATTTACTTGTTATTGTCTGCAGGTGGGACAAAGTAGTCATCTCTGACGTAAAATACCAGGTTACCCGCGGATGTATTCACTCCGTTTTTTTATCAAATTATCTTTATTCGATCTTTTTGTATTTACTAATGCTTGTATTTATTTAGTAATTTCTTAAATTTACTCAAATTTCCCCATTTTTATAGTTCATTTATTTATTTAGCTACAGTACTTGTTTATCTAATTGTTACTGTTTAGTTAGTTACGTAATTATATCCTTCTGTATTTGCTTCTTTGTTTATTTTATTCTTTTACTTTTATGATTATCGTTGATAATTTTTTTCATTTATTTACTTCTTGCTCAGATTTCTTCTCTATTCAAGTATAATTATGTTTATTACTTGTTTGTTATGTATTTACTCATTCACTTAACAGGTCGTACAGTTTTTTATCGCTCTTTACTTTTTTTCTCAGGTGTCGTCAGGTTTCCCGCCCCAGATCAACCACTCCTAAATCTGCTACACTGTGCCATGGATCAACCAACCAACCAGAACTCTGCTACACTGTGCCATGGATCAACCAGCCAACCAGAACTCTGCTACACTGTGCCATGGATCAACCAACTTATCGGACCTCTGCTACACTGCACTGCACTGTGCCATGCATCAACCAACCAACCAGAACTATGCTACACTGTGCCATGCATCAACCAACCAACCAGAACTCTGCTTCACTGTGCCATGCATCAACCAACCAACCAGAACTATGCTACACTGTGCCATGCATACACTGTGCATCAACCAACCCAGAACTCTGCACTGTCAACCAACTTATCGGACCTCTGCTACACTGCACTGTGGATCAACCAACCAACCAGAACTATGCTACACTGTGCCATGCATCAACCAACCAACCAGAACTCTGCTACACTGTGCCATGCATCAACCAACCAACCAGAACTCTGCTACACTGTGCCATGCATCAACCAACCAACCAACCAGAACTCTGCTACACTGTGCCATGCATCAACCAACCAACCAGAACTCTGCTACACTGTGCCATGGATCAACCAACCAACCAACCAGAACTCTGCTACACTGTGCCATGGATCAACCAACCAACCAGAACTCTGCTTCACTGTGCCATGGATCAATTAACCAATCAGAACACTGCCACACTAACTGGGTTGAGGGAAGCTGCAATGTTCGGCTGACAGAGCAATATTGCACTTTCCCCGGCCTAGCTGGTGTTGGTACCAGCTGCCTGTGAACCTTGTCCGTCCTGCCCAGCTGACCTAGTGACGGTATCAGTTGTTGTTGCGATTCTTCATTCACAACGTACATAAACAATAAAAGAACTAAAAAAAATCGCTCTTTCTTCTCATGAGGGAGTTTGTGCAGTAAACCAGGTGTGGACGAGTGCATTCTTGTGTTTTCGCTTCAAATTGCACTAGTCCCGGCCTGCTGTGCCTGCATCACCACCACCGTCACCACCCTTGCAACCACCATCACCACCCCTGCAACCATCATCACCACCCCTGCAACCACTATCACCACCTCTGCAACCACCAACACCACCCCTGCAACCACTATCACCACTCCTAAAACCACCATCACCACCCCTGTAACCACCACCACAACCCCTGCAACCACCACCACAGTCACCAGCCAGTGTAACCACCAACACTGTCACCAGCCAGTGTAACCACCATCCTTGCAACCACCACCACCACTGAAACCACCGCCTTCATCATCACCACCCCTATTATATCGCCATTACCACCATCACTGCCACCGCTACTACCACCATCATCACCGCTATTGCCACTGCCCACCAATATTACCATCACTGCTAGTTTAACCCTAACAAACCACCACCATTACCACCACTCCACTCAACCCTGACAAACCACCACATTGTACTGTATGTTGGCAAAAAGTATTAATATGTCTATGTTATATTTTGTGCAGCAGTAGTAGAAAGGTATATGGTACAGTACATAACTTTCCCGTAATATACTGATGACAAAAACTAATCCAAACTTTGCTCCACTGTTATATATCAAGCAACCAATCAGAACTCTGCTACGCTGTGCCGTGGATCAATCAAGCAATCAGAGCACTGCCACACTAACTGGAAGGCTTAACTAGCTAAGGACTGATACAAGCTGTAATAAGATTAACAAATGAATTAATGCGTGTAAAGTGTTATTCTGTTTAGTTTTATCAAGTAGAGTCTAAAGGCTGGCCACTCGGTATGCATTTTCTTGTTAACGAAATAAATATGTAGCTACAGTGTCCCCTGAAGTATTTGTATGTTGTTACTTTTCTGAAAACCGTACCTATAATTTCTCTGTAGTAGTATACACTAATTTTGTGTACATGCGGTGACAATAATGTACAATGATCCCGAGCAGTGTTTATGTACTGTTATCTCTGTGGATTTTATGTACAGTACTTATAGCTTATAATAATACATATAGGAATAGTACACTTTTATTTGCACCTGCATCTCAGTTGTTATTGCTGAATTAACAAAAATAAGAAAATAACAAGAATTCACAAGTTAAAAGTGCCACAAGACACTCTTAATTTTACTGTCATGCTTCAAACTACATACTGTATAACACAAACACACACAATCACTGAGTCATACTTCACACTTAGATATAACATACAAGAGGCACGGATTCACACTTCACACTATAACACATACAAGAGGCATTGGATCATACTTCACACTATAACATACAAGAGGCATTGGATCATACTTCACACTATAACACACACAAGGCACTGAGTCATACTTCACACTATAACACACACAAGGCACTGAGTCATACTTCACACTATAACATACAAGAGGCACTGATTCACACTTCACACTATAACACATACAAGAGGCATTGGATCATACTTCACACTATAACACACACAAGGCACTGGATCATACTTCACACTATAACATACAAGAGGCATTGGATCATACTTCACACTATAACACACACAAGGCACTGAGTCATACTTCACACTATAACACACAAGGCACTGAGTCATACTTCACACTATAACATACAAGAGGCACTGATTCACACTATAACACATACAAGAGGCATTGGATCATACTTCACACTATAACACACACAAGGCATTGAGTCACTTCACACTACAACACATACAGGAGGCACCGAGCCATATTTTACACTGCAAAACACACAAGAGACACAGTGATACTTCACACTAAAATGGCACAAGAGACACTGGTTCACACTATAACACACACAAGAGACAATGAGTTACTTTGTGCACAATAGAGCGATTTCCTGCATTTCAAACCACTTGTCTTACTTAAATGAATAGAAAAAACAGAATTGCATATTTTCGTTTATATTTAGTAACGTATATACTGTACGGTACATGCATTTAATAGCCTGATCATTCAACAAGGCCTTGTTTGAGTGCTGCATTACCAAAATATATCTTGTTTGTGACCCCACTACTTCACATGTTATGCTGGTACATTATCTTCAAAAATACCCTGAATGTTTCATAGTTTGATAAAACCTGTATCAAACACTATCTACAACCTGACCATGTGAATCAAGTGTAATTTGTCTGGAAAACATGACGACGAGGTCACTCTCTCATCTGTCTCACCTCTGCTGACAGAGGAGTGTTGACCGTGACACACGGAGGGATGCACTTATACATATTGCTAAAACACAAACAAGGGCCAGTGTTTTTTGTGTATATATATATATATATATATATATATATATATATATATATATATATATATATATATATATATATATATATATATATATATCTTATTTCCATTTTCCCTGTGTGATTTTATCAAGATTTATCTTATCCACGTTTTCATTAGGATTTACATGAAATATATATATATATATATATATATATATATATATATATATATATATATATATATATATATATATATATATATAAAATATATAAATATATATATATATATATATATATATATATATATATATATATATATATATATATATATATATTATATATATATATATATATATATATATATATATTTTATATATATATGCTGATAACCACAAGGAAAGAAGAAAACACAAAGTTCCCAAGCGCTTTCGTGTAATTTCACATCTTCAGGGGTGAGTACAGACTAGAGAGAGAAATAAATCAAGGTGTATATATACAGAGGAGGGCGAGACCAGGTCCACAATGGTTCAGGTATTAGGTAATGACCCTACTAATCTTTAAATAGCACACAACGGTTGGTGGTCAGGTCAGATGGTCAGGTGACCCGGCCTTCACCTGGTCACAAATCTTCTAATTACAAAATTGTCCAGCTTGTACATGCCGTTACTCAAATTCATGTTGAATGCTTCTGGTATGTTTAATAAGACTAGATTCTATGATGTTCCTACTATCAATTGAATTACATGGTAATATTGAGGAGGCATTATCCCAGTCAATGCAATGCTTGTTATCCTCAAATGAACAAATAGAGCATTGGATTCTGGTCTGTCCTAACACTGTATTTGTGTTGTTTAATTTTAGTTGCAAGATCTTTACCTGTCTGGCCTAAGTAAAACATATTACATTCCTTGCAAGGAACTTTATTAATGCAACCAATTGTGTTGTTGGGGGAGTTCTTGATTAACATTTGTTTAATAGAGTTTTTAAATGCCACATTGATGTTCCAGGTTTTTAGTTGTGAAGGAATGTGTGAGAAATTTTGTGAAATGGTAATATTAAGATATTCTTATGGTCATGGGTGGGCTTTGGATCAGTTCTATAAAAAGTTTTCTTAGTAATGTTTAGGCATTTGTCTATGAAAGATCTAGGGTATTTAAGGTTTGAGCCAATATTATATATGTATTTGTATTCCTCATCGATGAATTCCGACTGCAAATTCTCAAGGCACGTAAAACATTGTTGAAAATACTGACTGTTTGACTTTATTATGGTGGGCAGAATAATAATGAATGTATGAACACACATTAGTTGGTTTTCTATAAATACTGAACTTAAAAAGTGTTACCTATTCTGTGTATCAGACAGTCTAAGAATGGCAATTTACAGTTTTGCTCTAATTCCACAGTGAATTTGATCGAGGGGGCTAAGTTGTTAAGTTGTGGCAGGAAAGCTTTTAGGTCCTCACATATACAGAGACATAATACATCATCAACATATTTAAACCACACTGCTGAGGGTGGTAAAATATTACTTAATAGTTTCTTTTCAAAGAATTCCATATATAGGTTGCTTAATTACAGGTGAGAGTGGATTACCCATTGCCATACCAAAAATTTTGAGCATAATATTCTCCATTGAATCTGAATTTGCAACCCTTAATACATAGTTTGATGAGTTCGATGAAGTCGTCTTTCGAGACGGGCAGTGAAATATCATCCAGGGAATCTATGAGGAACTCTAGTAAATCATCAACTGGGACCTTGTAAAGAGTGATGTTACATCATTGCTGACCAGTTTAAATCATAATTAATGTGTAAGTTATTGGAGTTTATCAACCAGATCCATATTATTCTTGATTGAGTTAGAAATGTTGCCAACTAGGATTTAGTAAAGAAACTAACATTTAGATAGTTTATAAGTGGATTGACCCAACTG